ACACTATGTTTGGAACATATGTTTTTCAGCTTCGCGATCAGGAGCGTGAACGAGAGTTTAAAAAACAACGGTCTGAAGCAATCAAGGCTGGTATCATTGAGGAAAAATACTTTGACAGGGATGGAGCCGACAATGAAGAGGTAATATCTGGTGCTGAAAACGCTTGAGTTATGAGTTCTCTAAGAAGTTGAGTCTGTGATGCACTAGGACTCCGATAGCGAAAGAGACGAAATGCTGTCTGATGGTGATCTCGAGGAGGTGGCTGAGACGGAAATGAACATGATGCTACAACGTATACCGGCCACGTGTACAGTTGAGTTTGCTGTTGGAATATTTTTCATCTTGATCTCTCCGCTTCCTATCTCTGTTTTCATCAACTTCTGCTATAGTGGCGTTTTAGTAATCAACCCCATGCCGGAAGCACGACCATTCATGTCGTGTATGCGATCGGATGAGATGAAAGAGAAAGGCTGTGATGACGAAGACGAGGAGGAGGTAATTTCTTAATTGTGTTTTCCATTTATTTCCTTGGTATCTCAGTCGTGACTTTTTTGCTCGTTTCGAGCGCTTTATAGGGTAACTTTCATCTGTGTTCATCTGCAAACTAAATCTTTTCGCTCGCACACTGCATCATCACGACTACGAGAAAGGACACTGTTAACACTATTTGTTTGCCCTAATTTTGATATTTTTAATAATCATTATATTTGTCATAACAGTGCAGGCGATGCAAAGTAGCAGCAGTTGTAGGCATGATCTCCGCATCTTTTTGTGGCAATAGCTACTTTTGAAGGTTGCAGTTGGAACGTTGTAGCTTTGCGCATGCGAGGAAGTGGAGAACACCTTTACTTCCTACACCTTCTAATCTAGGAGACCGAAAAGAAGGAAGGCAATGATGATCCGCATACCAACAAAGCTAGGAGTAACCACGCTGCTGGTGCCGAAGATGGTGATGGACATCCACATGTAAGCTTTCTCCCCAATTTTATAGGGGCAGCATCGCGGCAAAATGTAGCGAAGATTTTTTGCTTATCTGGGGTAATCCGTCCCGATGTCTCTAAAAATTGATCAGCTTTTCCCTAATCCGCCACTTATCGATCTGGGCGTATAAAGCAACCCCAAGCTTGGAAATGCAGAATCGTTGTTGAACCCTGCGATTGTGATCGCAGCATGAGAGGCTTCCGGAACGTTTCTGTAAAATTTAAAACTCTGCAGACCCGCTTTTATTGTTTCACTGACTATT